CACAGGGTCCTCTGCGCTGGCAGAGGGCGTGGGCGGCCGGGCCTCACTCGCCCTCTAGCGCTTGCCGCCTAGTCCTTGGGACGTCCACTGCACTCCAGGCCTCGCTCCCGACACCCACCGCCCTCCCTGGGCTGGTGTAGTGTTTGGGTCCATGAAAGGGACGGCTATCCCGATGCTCGAAGCAGGCATAGCCCCAGGGTTACTCCGGGTAGGACCAGGAAGTCCCTACGACCTCCCGGGTCCCGGCACCCCACTTCTCACTCCGGTCATGTTCTGAGCCAGGGTCGCAGTGGCAGGCCAGACACACGACGCCCAACTCCTAGCGCGCGGCTTCGGGAGCCAGAAAAAGCCGCCTCTTCCAGGAAGCTCTCCAGACAGGCAGGGCTCTGCTTGGCCCGACCTCTCCTACCTGCAGCTTCCCTGCCAACAGGCCCCAGCCACTTTTTTTTTTTTTTTTTTGAGACAGGGTCTCACTGTCACCAAGGCTGGAATGCAGTGGTGCAGTCCCCAGGTTCAGGCGGTCCTCCCACCTCAGCCTGCCGAGTGTGTGACATCACAGGCCCGCGCCACCGCACTCGGCTCATATATTTTACTTTATTTTGAGACACTGTCTCATTCTGTCGTCCAGGTTGGAGTGTAGTGGCGAGATCTTGGCTCACTATAACTTCCGCCTTCCAGGCTCAAGCGATCCTCCCACCTGAGCCTCTTGAGTGGCTGGGACCACAGGCGCGCGCCACCACACCCAACTAATTTTTGCATTTTTTTGTAGAGACGGTGTTTTACCATGTTGGCCAGGCTAGTCTCGGACTTCTGACCTCAAGCGATCCGCCCGCCTCGGCCTCCCAGAGGGCTGGGATTACACAGCGACTGGCCGCAGGATCATAGTTCACTGCAGCCTCGAGCAGCCACTTCCGGGGCAGCTCCTCCATTCTCTGAGTTTGAGACTTGCTCTCGGCTCAAATCCCTTCAGCGCCGTCCTGGCTGAACGACCTTGGGAATGCACTGAGCCTTTCTGAGCTTGGGATTAGTCTCCTCTCCTGAAAAAAACAGCTGAGGATGCTGAGATGATCCCCTAATGTGATTAGTAGAGGCCCTCGCGGGGCAAGCCGGGCTAGGGATTGTTACTTCCCTCACCGAGGGGCTCTTTATCCGTTTAACTGGGTGGGAGGAGTCACGCTTCCGGCCAACCCTCCCCCAGACGCTGGCCTTCTCACCCACACCTCTCCTTCCGCCTTATTTTTGCTATCCTTCTGCCTTATTTTTGCTATTGTCCTAATCTCTGTCGGATGTTCTATCTTTTGTTTGTGAGTTTACTTGTTGACTACCTGCTCCTCCTGGCCCTGGCCTCCAGAACCAGCCCCCCAAACCCTTCGTGCCCCCCAGAAGTCTCTGACAGGTGATGGACTGCAAAGCTTCCCACCCATTCAGTGCCTCCACCCTCTGTAAACGCTCTGTGCATGGAGCAGCAGTGTAGGGGAGGAGAGGCTGGGATCCTGGCTGGGGGCAGCAGCCCACCTGCCTGCCCCTTTCCTTGTCCTTTGCATCTCTGACAGCTGTGCCCCAGTGACTTAGGCAGGATCCTTGTTGATGACTCAGACTGGCCCCCAGGAGGCCTGGGGCACACACAGGCCCCTCCCCAGCTTCCTAGGGCTACCTCTGCCAGCCCCATCTCCCCGACAGGTTCCCTTCCAACCGCCCATTTTTGAAAATCTGATTCACAATGATAATTTAAAAAAAAAAAAAAGCATTGAAACACATGCTTCCGATGTAAATTTCACTGTGTGAGGAAAGGCTGTAATATAAATATATGTAAATGGAAATAAGGAGAGGGAGCAGATAAGTGCGTGGACTGGTGTGAGGGAAACTAGGGCTGCGATCCTGTCTGTCCCAGTTTCTGCATGTGTAAAATGGGGATAAAAATAAAAGTGTACTAGCGGAGGCAACATAGCAAGGGCCTGTCTCAAGAAAGAAAAGAGAAAAGAAAGGAAAGGAAGGAAGGGAAATAAAGGAAAGGAAGAAAGGGAAAGAAAAAGAGAAAGAAAAAGAAAGAGAGAGGGAGGGAGGGAGGGAAGGAGGGAGGGAGGCTGGAGCGGTGGCTCACGCCTGATATCCCAACACTTTGGGAGGCTGAGGCGGGCGGATCACGAGGTCAGGAAATCAAGACCATCTAAACCATGGCTAACATGGTGAAACCCTGTCTCTACTAAAAATACAAAAAATTAGCTGGGCGCGGTGGCGGGCGCCTGTAGTGCGGGCGCCTGTAGTCCCAGCTACTCGGAAGGCTGAGGCAGGAGAATGGCATGAACCCGGGAGGCGGAGCTTGCAGTGAGCAGAGATCGTGCCACTACACTCCAACCTGGCCGACAGAGCGAGACTCCGTCTCAAAATTTAAAAAAAAAGAAGAAAAAGGAAAGAAAAGGAAGGAAGGAAAGAAAGAGAGAGAAAAGGTAAATAAAGAAGAAATAAATCAGTGCGGCACAGTGGCACACACCTGGAGTCCCAGCTCCTCAGGAGGATGGAGCAGGAGGATCACTTGATCCAGGGAGTTAAAGGCTGCAGTGAGGGCCAGGCGTGGTGGCTCACGCCTGTAATCCCAGCAGTTTGGGAGGCTGAGGCGGGTAGATCACCTGAAGTCAGGAGTTGAGACCAGGCTGGCCAAAATGGTGAAACCCCATCTCTACTAAAAATACAAAAATTAGCTGGGTGTGGTGGCAGGCACCTGTAATCCCAGCTACTCGGGAGGCTGAGGCAGAAGAATTGCTTGAACCTGGGAGGTAGAGGTTGCAGCGAGCACAGATCGCACCACTACACTCCAACCTGGGTGACAAGAGCAAGACTGTCTCAAAAAAAAAAAAAAAAAGGCTGCAGTGAGCCATGATTGAACTACTGTACTCCGGCCTGGGAAACTGAGTAAGACCCTGTGAAAAATATAGAGTAATAATAATAGTAGTTCCTCCTTCCTCGGGGAGTATGAGCACTAAATGAGAAAATGCCTGTGAAGTGCTTAGCACAGAGCCGAACACACAGTAGGGGCTCACTCATTATTTAAGAATAACAGGCTGGGCGAGGTGGCTTACGCCTGTAATCCTAGCAGTTTGGCAGGCTGAGGCGGCAGGTCACTTGAGCTCAGAAGTTTGAGACCAGCCTGGGCATATGGCAAAACTCCATCTCTACAAAAAATACAAAAATTAGCTGGGCATGGTGGTGTGTACCTGTGCTCCCAGCTACTCAAGAGGGTGAGGTGGCAGGATCCTTGAGCCCAGGAGGTGGATGTTGCAGTAAGCCGAGGTGGCACCACTGCACTCCAGCTTGGGCGACAGAGCGAGACTCGGTCTCAAATTAATGATAATAATATTAATAAAACAGTAAGACCCCCTCATCTGTACAGTCTGTTGCAGTTTTCAACGCTGCAGTCTGGGCCAAAAAGAGGCCCCAGGAGGAAAGAAGCCGGGACTCCTCTAACCACCCTGGGGTCACAGGGACCGAGGCACTGGCCCGCAGGGTTCCGGACCAAAGCGCTTGGCCGACCTCCTTCCGGGAGGAATCCTCCCAGCCGCAGCCCAGGAACGCAGTTCCCGCTAGTCCCACCCGTACGATAGGCGCGGGCCGCGCGCGCCGCCATGTGTCCCATTGCCGCCACAGCACCCTCGGCTCCGCCCAGACTCTCCCAGGAAGGCGCACATCCGGTTTTGGCCACAAAAGGAAAGGCGAGGCCCGGCGCGGTGGCTCGCGCCTGTAATCCCAGCACTTTGTGAGGCCGAGGCGGGCGGATCACCTGAGGGCAGAAGTTTGAGACCAGCCTGGCCAACGTGGCCACTACTCTACTAAAAATACAAAAATTAGCCGAGCGTGGTGGCGGGCGCCTGTAATCCCAGTTACACAGGAGGTTGTTAACACAGGAGGCTGAGGCAGGAGAATCGCTTGAACCTGGGAGGCAGAGGTCGCAGTGAGCCGAGATCGCGCGACTGCACTCCAGCCTGGGCGACAAGAGCAAGACTCCATCTCAAAAGAAAAAAAGCGAGGGAATGACGACCACAAGGGCAAATGTGGCTAT